AATCATTGATAAAAAGAAGGAAGAGAGTAAGTGAAAGAACAGAACCCTGTGGGACACCACTATTGGTAAAGAAAGAGCAAAAGGTCGATCCCTCAACAACTACTGCCATGGACAGGTTCTCAAGGAAGCTAGAAATTAGAGAAAAAAGTGGGGAAGTTTAGAAAGCAAAGACTTGTGCCATACCCTGTCAAAATCTTTGGAGATGTCGAGGGCCATGACGAAAGTTTCCCCATAATCCCTAAGAGAAGATGACCAATGATGGGTGCAGTAGGAGAGCAGATCACCAGTAGATCTCGCCTGGCAAAAGCCATACTGGTGATCCGACAAAAGAGAGGAGCGTTCAAGGTGATGGAGAAAATGAGAGTAAGATAGTTTCGAAAATATAGAGGGATGAAGTTCGGGCAATTGGGCGATTGTTAAAGGGATTAGAATGGTCACCCTTCTTCGGGATGGGCTAAGCCAAGGCATGACCCCAAGAAGAAGGAGAAGTTTGGGTTTTGAGGCAAAGGCAAAATAGGCAAACAAGCACAGGGGCCAGAATTTCAGAACACTCCCTCAGAACACGAGGGAGTATTCCGTCTGGTCATGCTCCTTACTCACTTCCAGATTGGATAACACACCAGCAACCCTACGAGTGGAGATTATAGGAAAGTGCATAGGTTCAGTAGGAGGAGCAGGAGTAGGAGGGGGTAGAATTGGAATCGTCTAAGGTGGAGTTAGAGGAGAATAAGGTGCCAAAGAGATTAGCTTTATCAGGGGGAGGTCGGAAGAGGGAGTGCAGAAGTTATTGCAGATGTTTTTGGTTAAGGACAAGAAGGATTTACTAGAAGAAGAGTTAGCCAGGACAGCGGTCTTTCTTTTTATAAAATTCCGCCTGGTCCTATGAAGAATAACCTTACAACGATTCCTAGAAATAATGAAAGAGGAGTGGGTAACAGAAGGAGATACAGGTAGTTTCATAACTTGATACACCCTCTCTCTCTCCCTACATACAAGAGAACAGGAGCAATCAAACCATGATTGTTAAGTGAAAGTTTTGGTAGAAGATGGAATAATGCACTCATACCACCCTGTATAACCCCAGCAATGCTATCAGCACATACCGAGGCATCCTGGGTGGAAAAGCAACATTCACCCCAAGGAAAGTCGGAGAAGAATTCTAACAAGGTTCGGCAGTTTGCCCTTCAATAGTACCATAGTTGGCGTTTGGAGGGGGGGTGGGGAAGGTGGTCGTGCCCATTTTGATTTAATAAAAATAAGATTGTGATTAGAAGACCCTAGGGGGGCAGAAATTGAGTATGAATAGTGTGAGGAGTTAGAGGTAAAACAAAGATCAAGAATGTTAGTAAGTTGATCGTCCTGTAATCTCCCCATTAGCCAGAACAATTGGTGCAAACTTTTCTAGGAATGAGAAATCTCCGGGTAACAAGACAACGCTCTCAAACCAGGAAAAAATCCCGGTAATTATTCGAGATATGACTGTCCGCCGTTTTTCATTGAAAATGGGTTTAAAAATACACAGTTTTCACTTATTTTATTAGTGGATAGCGTCTGTATTATGTTGTGGAGAAATATGAAAATGGTTGAAATCAAGTGCTAACTTAACTAAACCAAACCTAACCTATATCTTAACTTGCCTAGATCAAGGAAACTGAGCATTTGCACAAGAAAATGAATAGAACTGCAAGTAATCAACATAAAAAAAATGGTGTCGAAAAACATCCCACATCCCAAATTTTTTGGGGTAATAGAAAAAGCATCCAAGAATTTAAATTAAATATCTCGCATGGGCAGACACTATCCCACGTCCCCATAATGATTCAGAGTGCTGGGGAAAGTTTTCCGAGTGTCTAAGAGAGTCTAAACTACCTGTATGCATCTCATCTGGCTCTGACTAACACTCTCCCATTATATTTAGATCGTGAACACAAGCGAAAATATTTATGGCTAGCAAAAATGTGTACATATAAACAGGGCCGGATTAAGCTTAATAGGGGCCTGAGGCACAGATCAACTTGGGGCCCCCTATCCTCAAGGTGTATATATATACTGTATATAGCAAGAAAAAAATATACCCAAATTTATCAATGATTTCATCAATATTAAGATTCTGCAAAATAACGCATTCAATGTTCATAAGAGACAGAAAATTGAGACATTGCTAGGACATCGTTGAACGAAGTTCATGTTTTATATGCTTCAACTTCGAGAATGTTTGGATTTGGGGGCCCCTTAGAGTCGGGGGGCCTGAGGCCAGTGCCTCAAGTGCCTCATGGTTAATCCGGCACTGCATATAAACTTTGCTTACATCTGTTCTAATTGTGTTAGAGATGAATTTTATACCATAATGATCCTGAATAAATTCTCCCCAAGGCTGTTTCAATAAAAAATCCTTAAACAAAATATTTTGACACCATATAATGATGGGGATTCAATTCTTTTATGAAAAAATTTAAGAAATGCTTATACAGTACCATACCAGAAACTATAAATTTAAGTTAAAAATAAAAAATTACCTAAAAGAATGGTTCAATAAATATATATATAAAATTCTGATACAGGCATGCAAGGTGTGATTGGAGCGGTGTCACTGCCAAGAACTTTTTCGTAGTGAGGGGTGTAAACTCTTGGAACAATCTACCAGAGAGTGTTGTGACGGCACGGAGTGTGAGCTCTTTCAAGACAAGACTTGACCAACACTGGAGCGGGTTCAAGTACATTCAGGAGCCGGTGCATGCCCAGTATTTGCCAACAGTGCGTGACAGACATGACCGATCGCCTAGGCGGCTAGCGAGCCGATCTTTTGGTGAAGTAGATAAATGAAAAGGAAAAGTAATCAGAGACGTGACCGATCGCCCAAGCAGCTAACGAGCCGATCAGTGGCGAAGAGGATAAAAGTAAAAGTAAAGTAAGACTGAAATTTTCCAATGTATTGGGGAAAGTTTCTCCCAAGTCTAAACTACAGTGACCCCTCGTTTAACGAACGCCTCGGTTAACGAAATTTCGGTTAACAAACTGCCTTCCATAAGGATCTTCAATTCGGTTAACGAACAAAAAATTCGGTTAACGAATTTCTTACGAACCGACCTCAACATGTTTTCGCTTGCACTGGCCGGGCAACCAGCTTTAGTATCAGTCCGCCAATACAGTAATCGGTTTTAGGGCTTAAATTCCTTACTATTTTTGTAAATATCAAGAAGTTTATACTATTCAATAATTTTAAAAGTTTAATATTAACTTTCTTTAGTCATTTTAACAATTATTGAACATAATTGAAGGTAAAGAAACTAGTTTCTGGCGTGCCATCCAGCCTGTTAACACACCAGACAGGCGTTAGTCTCTCTCTGTTTTCAGTGGAGGTAACACCTTGCTTGAGACTCTCTTCAACTAAACGCTTTTTTCTGTGTTTCCAAGCAAATTATTGGTCATTTTGAAATATATTTTACATATTGACAATATATAATGCAGTGCAGTGTTGATTTAAAGAAAATAATCTTGAAATACACCAAGAGAACTAAAATTTTATGGGTGAAATGGTGCCATGGGGTGAAATCTCTTCCACCCCAATGCCTTCTCTTCTTCCTTCTCCTCCACCCCCATTCTAATTCCCATCATCATCATCATCATCCAGGAGCCTTCTACATACACACCTCAAAGTAAGTGAACTTTTCTACCATTTTTGTTGAATTTGGGAAATTTTCGGTGAGCTGGAACCAATTACCCAAAAACCCATTGAAACAATGGTTTCGGTTAACGAACTTTTCGGTTAACGAACAACCTTCTGGAACGGATTGAGTTCGTTAACTGAGGGGTCACTGTAGTCATCTTGCAAGGAGCAGTATTTATTTATGCAAACATCTCTGTATATGTACAATCCAGTATATTGCAAATAAACAAAATACCAGTAATGTACATTCATCCAGAGATCCAGCGACCTCAACCTGGACCTCATACTCGCAATTTTACGTGGCAATACTGTACTGTACTTGGTAAAGTAAGGCTGTATGTAATTGTGATTGTGACTGGTGGATATATTTTTGGCTGTATCACTGCCAGGTTAAATATTAAACAAACCTAAGCTAACATTTTTATAATAATAAACTATTCATCATTATTTTAGATCATGAGAAGTTTCCAAATGTTCATATATTTGCTTAAATAATGAATAAAACTTGATGTGAGAACCTAACCCAACACAAACCTAACCTAAGCAGCCTGGTATTGTTTTATTTTTGGTCATCTAGGGAATCTTAGGAACTTGACTTTTGAAATAAGTAGTTTAGACAATTCTAAGACACTTTTCTTCTATGACGTTTCCCTCACAAATGACCTGACCTAACCTCCTAACTGCGGGGCTCCGCACCCCCTATCCCTCTGCCATATGCAAGTCATAAAAGTAAAGTGTTTTAGAATTCTCTTAACTACTGATTTCAATAGTCAAGTTCCTAAGATTCCCCAGATGACCGAAACTAAAACAATAACAGGTGGGTTAGGTTGGGTTGGGTTAGCTGGAGCTGGATTAGGTGAGGTTGTGTTGGTTTATGTTAGCTGGAGCTGGATTAGGTGAGGTTGTGTTGGTTTATGTTAGCTGGAGCTGGATTAGGTGAGGTTGTGTTGGTTTATGTTAGCTGGAGCTGGATTAGGTTAGGTTGGATTAGGTAAAGTTAGCTTAGGCTGGGTTAAGATAGGTTACTTTTTTTCATTAAAAAACGAAACTACAGAGTATCCAACAGTAAACATATTTTGACATGTTCAAAAATGAAAACCTAACTAAAGTGTAACTTGTTTCCTACATTTGCCGAGAACAATGAAAAAATATTAGTCCTGACTAATATTGACGACTAACCCGCCGACACATTAATTGTTTTGATGTTTATATTCTTACTTTATTTAATCTGTGAGCTCTGATATGATAATATTTAATTTTTTTTTTGGGGGGGGGGAGGGGGATTTTGCTTCCTTGGGTAGATAATTAAGCAACTTGGCATGCACTACTTTACCTTTCTCATTGGTGATGTGGCGGTACACAGCCAATCATCTCCGATCGACACCAGTCGCCAGTGTACAGTAAATCCTTGATAACTCAGCACATATGGGACTCTGGCCTTGCTGAGTTATCCCAAATTCCAACTTATCGAGGCACTTCCCCCTCTTAAAAAATTAAAACAATAACAAATTATTCACCCATGTTTGTGTACATGTAATTACTTAATGTAAAAAAGTAAAACTGACCAGCACTGCAGGCGAAGAGTAAAGCATCATAGTAGGTGACACAGAGGCAAGGTAGTTGACACAGGTGGTCAGATATGGCAAGATTTTCCCAGATAATTTTATATAACTCGGTATTTCCCGAGTTATACTAATACAATCCAAGAGCATATCCATGCCGAGTTATACGAAATTCTGAGTTATCGAGGGTTTACTGTATGTTTATGAGCCACACTGTCTGGGTGGCTGCACACACTTCTACAAAAAAATTTTAAATTACACCATATCATAGTAAATTCTTTCTGTTTAATATGCCAGGAGGGTGGAGTCTCACGGCTAGGAAGTTAGGTAAGATTAGGTAGGTTTTTTGGTTAGGTTGGTGAGGTCTTCTATCAATGCTTCTGCATTTTCACTGTGTGTTTTGGTGGACACTGTCGTAGTGTTGGCAAATGTGTTGAAAAGTGGTAATTTCTAAATTAAACAGAACCTAACCTTAGTTGATAAGAAAAACAAGCAGCAGAAACGTTGTCAGACCTCACCAACCTAACCAAAGAAACCTACCGAACCGTAAGGCTCCACCCTCCAGACCCCCCCCGGCATATTAAACAGAAATGTAAGAGTAGCCATCCAGTCCATGTGGCTTGTAAACATACACTGGCAACTGGCATCAATTGGAGACGATTGGCTGTGTACCGCCGCATCACTGCCGAAAATGACAAAGTAGTGCATGCCAAGTTGCCTAATTATCTACCAAAGGAAGAAATTTCCCCCCAAAAAGGATTATGATATCAGAACTCACTAATGAAAATATAGTGGGAATATAAACACCAAAACAAATCACGTGTCAGTGAGTTAGTCATCAAATTAGCCCATTTACCAAAACTACACCAGTGTCCACTATAAAAAATAGTGAAATTGGAGTTTTTAAATTTGTTTTTTATGAAGTCAGGGGTGGGTCAGTCTTCAATAATTATCCTAGCCCTATAAATTGAAAAAATAAATAATAATATATTTTTATAGTAGTTCACACAACATTCCTACCCCAAATCTATTACAATATTCGAAAAAGATGTCTAATTTTAAGATAATTTTCTTCTATTACATTACCGTCGGAAACATATAATAAAGGAGATAGCGCATGCCAAATCGTTCTCTATATAATTCTATAACAGTGATTCCTTCATATGCTGAGAGTCTGGTTACGTAAAAACACAGTGAGAGTTAGGTTAGGTCAGGTTAGGTCATCTAAAAAATGTTAGGTTATATGTTTTTCTAGTGTTTTTGGAGCTTTGTATTCACTTGGCCATGATTTTGGTCGGAAAATGCTTGATTCTCTCCCCCACCCAAAACCCAGGTTCCCAACAGGATCCCCTATCTTGTCGGGACCATTTCGTCACCACTGCTTTTACCCGTTTCGTCACCGCATTAATTTCTATCACCATTTCAAGTGCAATTCTTTCCAGAAAATTCTTACATAATTAATACATCAATATATGCACAAAAATAATTGTTGCTTGGGATAGAAAGGAATTAAAACACCTAGTTTACACAATTATATTATGAAATTATGCCTTGGCACAGCAATACATTGAATCATGCAAGAATGTCACAAAGACAATTTATTAAAGACGAAAAAAAACATAAAAACGTTATTACTCATGCAAGCATGTCACTTAAACTATTTATGAAAGACTAAAATGAAACAAAAATAATAACAATGTTAGTATGCCTCACTTCAACAATATGTGAAAGACTAAAAGTAAAAATTAAATAAAAATATTGTTTTTACTCATGCAAGCTTGGAAGAAGACACTGACAATTTTCAGGAAATTAGAAGTGGTAATATATTTTCTTCATATTCATCCCACAGCTTCCAGAGACGGGCTTGTTAGTCATGATTTGCTTTTCTTGTGCACAATTTTAGCTTGTGCTCAGCAACAAGCTGTAATTGCAAATCAACCATTGAGACTTCTGTGTGAAGAAGAGGGACAAGGTGGTATAGAGCAAGATTGTTGTTTGCTGCTCGGTGGTTTACGCACTTGTGCCAAAATCCCAAATCACCTCATTTGTTCTATATTTTGTTTATTTACCAAAATTTTAATAGTTTTCTTTATTAAATAATTAATATTCATTGAGACTGAATGTGAGAAGGACCTAGGTGTGTCTGTTGACAATGAGCTGAAGTTCTCGGGCCATTGCAAGAAGAAGGTAAATCAGGCAAATAAATTATTGGGTCTTATAAGGTCATTCAGATATCTAGACGGTCCGTCCCTCATAACGATCTTCAAGAGAGAAGTGCTTCCCCATCTGGAATACTGTCACCCCGTCTGGTCCCCGAGATAAGCTAGGGGCTGTCAGTTGGTTGAAAATGTTCAAAGGAGGGCCACCAGACTGGTGCCAGCACTTCAGCACCTCAACTACCCTAACAGATTGGAGCACCTGAACTTGCCTAGCTTATACTACAGACGGGCAAGGGGTGACCTAATTAGGTGTATAAGCATCTCAAGGGGCACTACTCAGTCGAGTGTCCTTACCTGGAGCTGGCAGACGCTCGCCTCACAAGGGGTCACAGTTCAACGTTGAAGAAGCCGCAGGTCCAGAAAACTGTGAGGGCTAACTTTTTCAGAGTGAGAGTTGTGAACTCTTGGAAAGATGTCAGAAAATGTTGTGATGGCACCGAGTGTGAGCTCTTTCAAGACAAGACTTGACCAACACTGGAGCAGGTTCAGGTACATTCAGGAGCCGGTGCATGCCCAGTAGTTGCCAAGTGCGTAACAGAGATGTGACTCATCGCCCAAGCAGCTAACGAGCCAGTCAATGGTGAAGAAGATAAAAGTAATAATAACAACAATTCTTCATTTGTTCTGCATTTTGTTTAGTGTATTTCCAAATGTTTTAATCGTTTTCTTTATTAAATTTAATATTCAGGTATAATAATAATTCTTCATATGTTCTGTATTTTGTTTATTTACCAATGTTTAATAGTTTTCCTTAGTAAATAATATTCATAGATAATAATAACACAATAATTCTCGAATCGTCTGTATACATGTGTAATTTCTATTCGTGTAAAATAATAACTTGCAATTTGTCACTAATACCAGCAACTGATAGTGGTGACGAAACAGATTTGATATTGGTTACGAAATGGGTTTCTGGTGACGAACCAGGTTGATGACGAACGGTGACCGTAAAAAACCCCAACGGACAAAATCCGTCTCATATATATAATATAAAATAAAACACTTATGTTTAGGTTAGGTTAGGTAAGGTTAGGTTAGCTTAGGTAAGTGTTGATAAATGACAACCCCGTTGGGGTTTTGTCATGGAACCGTGATGAACCAGGTTGGTGACGAACCGGATTGGTGACGAAATGGGGGTGTATCCCTTGTTGGGGGTGGAACAGGGCGATAACTAAAAAAACAGCCAATTTCCGACGGAAATCAAGGTCAGAACCAATCAAAACACACACACACACACACACACAAAACACTAGAAAAACATTGGGTAAATTTGCATTGTCACACCGTTCACTTTGAGCAAGTAAAAAATTTATTTTTCTAGTGTATTTGTGTGTGTTAAGACCGAATATGACCATCATTTTTGGCGGAAATTAGCCGGGTTCTTTTGCGATTTTTTTTCGTTTGACGTTTCCTGAAAAAAAAGTGGCTAAGCGACTAAAAAATAAAAAAAAAAACACTAGAAAAACAAAAACCTAACCTAACCTAACTTAACTGACTCTCACTACATGATGGAATCACCTATTTCTTACCTTATTGTCCTGGTTCTTGTTCGTCGTTGGATTCTGGGATTCTTACATGCCACATATGTTGGTCTTTGCGATATTTACATTCAGTCTTGCTCTTAAGACACTTTACTGAGGTTGGAAGAACACCATGCGATCGAAAAAATGCTATAGTTTCTACGTTTTTTTTTTTTTTCAAAAAACTCGCAATCAGTTCTATATACTTTAAGTGACATCCATCGCAGACTTCCATGGTCGGAACTGAACTTGAATTTCAAAATATGAGACCCAAAATAAAACTCGATTTTGATTGAGCCAAATATACTCTGATTTAAACCCAAAATCATTTTAATTGGTTCCAAAAGAAAAAACGCTTTTGATTGGCCACGTGACGTGTACGAGTACGCATGTGCATAATGATTTATGAAGGAGATGAGAGACACGCAGTGTTGGGTGAGAGGCACACGATAGTGGCGGGAGGTTAATGGAAGGAAATAGAATTTTGGGGGGAAAAGCTATCTCCGTTATTATACATTTCCGCCGGTAATGTAATAGATGAAAATTATCTTATAATTAGACGTCTTATTCGAATATGATAATAGATTAGTGGTAAGAATGAACGGTGTGTAAACGCAATAATTCCAAACAAATTTTTGACTTTCTAACAGTTGTGTGAACTACTATAAATTTATCTAAAACAAACAAAACAGGTAAAATGCTTGTTTATTTTAACCCCACACTCTCCTCAAAACCCAGCCCACCGTGGGGTGTTAATACTGAAGGAGGAGAAATAGGGGTAATGGGCCATTACTTAAAAACTAAATATTTACACATGAAAAGTTATCAGTTCACCAACTGAGTTATTTCCAATTAAAAACAATGAAAAATAGTCTCCCGAAGTCCCGATACTGCACTAGGTACAGTAATTAACCAGATCCTAGTCTGACCCGAGATAAGTTACGGACATGTCATTGAGACATAGTATCGTCTCATACTAAGTCTTACCTCTTTTTTTTGTATGTTGTGTTCCATCCAAAATACACTACAGCAAAGTAATAAAACTATACAATGTTCGACTATCTATTTTAGTGCAGACTCTGCAGAGAGTTTAATAACAACGTAACAAAAAGAACACCAATCGTACCAGGACAACAGGTATGTCTAATCCTTGTTCTGTACAGTACGTGATCCACTGCTTCCACTCTCAATATTTTAAATTTCTCAGATGAGCTTCAAAAATTCCTGAGATTCCATGAAAATTCCTTGGATTTGTTTATTGTATATATACATATATATTTTATATATCTTATGTAAAGGCAAATATATGAATAAAATAATGCTTCAATACTGACGACAAAATAGCTTAGGAAGATGCCAAATGCTTCCAGCCACAGTAACTAGCAGTACTTATCCCTGCCTTTACACCATGGTGTCATCATATTTTTCTGGTGTTCTAGATATACATACATATCCATAAGTACATTTGGTAAAAGGGGTAATGAAAAGAAGAATAGGCATAAAGAGTTTCAATTAATAAAATATCTAACTTACATTTTCCCCACCACATTCAAAACAAGCCATGGAGCTCGCTCAGCTGATGAGCGGTCCTTTAAACTCCGTTGACCGTACCCATTTTCTTTAATTCCTGTGTGTGAGACTTAACTAGTATGAGAGTCTTAGACACTTCACAAGACAAAGTCATCTTCATCATACACAATCATATTGGATTCATTAGATTTTGCACATTCCTGAGAAAATTCCTCATCATGTTTTACTAGACCAAACATTCCTTAAAATTGGGAAAATTCCTTAAAAATGGAAGCACTGATCTGAAATGAATGGAGCAGTGTTGCCGCTTAGTTCACATCGGCCAATGCTATGCGTCACATAAGAGAAACCGTGTAAAATTATTGAGTAACTAAATTAAGCAGGAAATAAATGGAAAATATACAAAGACGATATTTATTGATATTGAAATACGTTTTATTTGGGTATGGACTAAAAAAGAAGTCGTAATACGGTTTAGAAAAAAAGAAATTAATAACAAAATGCGCCGTTATTTCTCCATTTTGTAATGACATACAAAGATAATAAATAATACATACACATGGTATTTACAATTAATCATTATGATGCTTTGCATATACTGCCAGATTCTGGGGTCACTAAGTCTAAGGGGATGACTTAACTCTAATCTTAATTTCTAAGGGTAGCTGCCACCAGACCCCCTCTGGACAGCATGTAGCTCGTTAGGTAGCGTGCAGAGTGGACTAGGCATTGGGTTAGGTTTTCCATTGACCAGATCGATAAGGGTAAAGAAGGGTGAAACCATAACATGTCTTAATTGATTTATTCCTTATAAAACATACTGGTAAAAAACATATACATGAATTGGCCTTCCTCAGAAGAACAACGGAAATGTGGTTACCCAGATGGGCCCCAGACTCTTACAGTGATGGCGTGTCATCCACTCCCTTGAGAGACGTAGAGCGAGGGGCGACCTGATAGAGGTGTATAAGTGGAAGGCAGGGCTAAACAAAGGGGACATTACAAAGGTACTCAAACTATCCAACCAGGAGCGAACTCGCAACAATGGTTTTAAATTAGACAAATTTAGATTTAGGCGTGAAATGGGTAAACACTGGTTTGGAAACAGAGTAGTGGATGAATGGAACAAGTTACCAAATATCATCATTAACTCGAATACGCTGAATTGCTTCAGACATAGGTTGGATGCTTATATGAGCAATAGGGGTTGGGTGTAAACGGGACTACCCAGTATGGGCCAATAGGCCCGCTGCAGTTTCCTCCTTTCTTATGTTCTTATGTACTTATTGCATAGCAATCTGTGACCACCTTACCTCGGTCATTCCTTCTTACACTATCCCTTAACACATCAGACTGCTCCACCTGTATGGAATATAGCACCGTCGGTTATCATACATAGTAGCACCATCTCAACACACATGTTACACTCCATACCTGCAAGTATGGGACTCCTTGTGACTTTTAGGTATACACAACAGGCACCTCGTTCGCACACCGCCCTCGGTGGGTAAAGACGAGGGCTTCGCCTAGAGACATACCAGCACTATTTCTACGCCTGGTATTATAGGTCGCTCCAAGTGACGACCGCAGAGTTTCTCACGGTCTTCTTATTTGTGACTATTCATTTGGAGTGGTGCGCTGGAAATCCACAGGTTCACAGTGGATTGGCATAGCGGGGAGTAGTCACCACCTGTTGTGACGCTCAAAGGGATAATGGCGGCCGGGCGGTAAGGCACTCCGACCGCATGGAACCTGAGGTGACGGTAGAACGAGGAAGACTGAGAAATAATGCCTGACGGGCGGTTATCCCACCCCTTAACACATTCCTATTACACTTATATATCCGGCAAAGCTTTAAACTGTAATGACTTTTATTTATAAACCTTAATTATAGGGCGGGATATAGTCCGCTAGGACACTGACCTGAGGTGACGGTAGAACGAGGAAGACTGAGGGCATTGCCCCTCCACTCCTCATCACGTAGGCCTACAGTTTCCAATCCTTAATTTTCACTTTTGTTTCTTTATGGTTCTCACCTGAACACTTTTCGATATATTGTCAATCATGCCTTATAAACACATATTTTAATCCTAAATTACACACTAAGGTATGGTCTTGGGTTGCTAGTTCTTGGGTAAATTCATGGGGTTATAATATCAACGTGGCATCCGAGGCGGGTACATGACGCGCCTTGAAACAGAGGCTGAATGTTCATGGCGGGGGTGTATCAACTTCACTTAAAACTGTAATGAAGGATCCTCCTCTCACACATTGCACAATTTGAACACAGACATAAGATTCTCTGATCACTGTACCTGTCGTGGGTATATGTCACGTGAGGATACGAGGTGTATTAAGTTCATACCGACGCATACAAGATATTTCCTTTCAAGTATAGTTTCTGGATCACTTCCAACACCTCACATAGTTCTGATACATTTATCCTTTTTCCAGATCATGGTTCTCATGTATTTTCATATGATATCTGTGGAAGTTATGTTCGCTACACTCTCACAGACGTAAATAGTACGACCTTCAAACCCTGATCCACACTTAGTCTTACAGTACACTAGTCCGGCTCAACTGGACTTTAACATTCATCTTATGGATACCCTGAGTTCTCCTTAATGCTATGAATACATACACTTAATATGATATAACTGTACCTGGGTACAATACAACACATGGTCTAGGAACATTGAGTAGATGAGTTGTCCTTTATCAATGTTTCCCGTTTTCTGAGGTTCTACAAGCGGTGGATTTGAATGTTATATAGCGTAATATGAATTAAATGGGATTTTTAGGAATGACAATGATGTGCGCAGTACATACAAACCGAATCAAATTTTCACCTGGCTCGTATGAAACACATCCTCCACAGTTGTGAATCACTTCAGATGAAATGATTAGAGATGTTAAAGTCTGGGTAGAAAGAATATTTCTTTGCTTAGTTTTGGTCAGATTCACCCTGGAAAAGATTCTTTCTACATCAACATTTGATGTGGGCAAAGACAATATCTTCAGAACAAAGTATGGGAGCTAGCGGAAATATGGTTCACTAAAATCATCTTTCATACTTTACATTTCCTTATAGAGTAGCTCTGCATTTCTTTGATTTTTTAGATAGTCTGGAAATTTTATGTTGTCAATGGCTCTCCACTCATTATCCAACTGCTGTTTGTTCGTTAGAGTTATTCTAGGGAAAACGTTCATTAAAGGTAACATTGCAGGCATTTTCACCCTCGACTGCTCTTTTAAAAAAATCTACTGATAATACAGAGCACATCTGCATAGGTTCGTTACCAAACGGAAACCTTTTTTTTTCGTTTCTTTGCAAGACATAATCACTAATTGCCTGCACCGATTCATCACATCTTCTATCATGTTGTAGTGGACGTCTCCCCTACAAACTGCGTAGCTGCATCCCACCTGCGACGCCTTCCCTAGCAACCAAACGAGCGGCGTCACCGTATCCTAGCAACTGAACCAGAGACCGGCGCCTTTCTCGGGTTTTCCCAACATGACTCATAGAGAACTCGCGGCTGCTGGGTATATAAGCTCTGTCTCTCCATTGAGATTCATTCTAGCCTCTCTTCTTGAACAAGCAACACCTCCTCCTCCGCCGCTGCCTGGCAGCCCTCGCCTCTCCTCCGCCTGCCTGGCGGTCCTCGCTCCCGCCAGCGAGCATGGCGACCCACCTGCTGTCCTTCTCTGAGCTTCCTCACCAACCAGCGCTCATTCTGGCCCATCTTCCTGAACACGCAACACCTCCTCCAGCAAGCTCCACGCTGTCCAGCTTTCATTCAACCAGGAGGCCAGCAACAGGCAACATCTTCTCTAACGAAGCTCCTGCACATCTACCTCCTTCAACACGCTACTCACCGAACGTCTCTACTGAGCAGCTCCTCACCACACGGCACCTCCAGCACCAGACTGTCTATCATATAACTTATATTATACAAGAAAACCACCTTAGTGTTTCCATCCATCCTGAGTGCTAGACAACATTATACCACGAATTCCTACAATGTCTTTCTTGTCTCTATATTCTTCAGACTGGAGATGACCATTAATTTCTATCCCAAGATATATCTGATTAAGGGGGAGGAATTTTGTGTTGTCTTGAGGATCTATATTTGCTATACTTGAGATCCTGTTCACTTCATCTCTCTTCATGTAACTCCACAGTACATCACGGTAAAGATCACTGCATCTTTTATGCAATACAATACTGGTATTGAAGGTTCATGACGCTGGAAAAGAAGGTTTATGTTATTAAACTTTGGCAACATATTGTTGAGAAAATGGAAGTATAAGCATATGGATGGATCATTTAAGCTTTCTAGAATAGAAGAAAGTGTGGAAAAATTTTCCTCCATACTTATGCTGGTAAAATATAGTTTCAAAGGTTCTCATTACTCTATCAGTCTGCTATGTGATAAGAAAGCCAACGTGTTTGACAGACATGAAAGATCGTATTTACTTTATCCTCTTCACCACTGATCGGCTCGTTGGCCGCTTGGGCTATCCGTCACGTCTCTGTCACGCACTGTTGGCAAGTATAATACATTTGTAACCGGTCGGAATTTACTGGACTTTTAATTTTTCACTTGACTTGGGGTTTATTAAAGATTATTAGATGGTAAATGCAATGGAAGCGC